GACTTATGGCAGTGATCAGCGATTTATGACAGTGATCAGTGACTTATGGCGGGACTGCGGTGGACATTTTGACACTGGGGGGGACTGACTTGGGGTCACTGACATCCCCAGTGACACCAATACAGTGATCAGTGCAAAAAAAAAAACACTGACACTGTACTAGTGGCACTGGGGAGAAAGGGGTTAATTTGTTTTAGGCAATGAAAGGGTTAACTGTGTGAGGGGAGTGTTTTACTAGGGGACGGGGGTGTGTGCTTCACAGGAACACGCTGATCCCGAGAGATAAACTCTGTTATCAGGATCAGCGTGTTAGGAACTGACAGGGAGCAGAGCTGCATTGCAAACGGTGATTGACACACGTGGCCACGATCGGCGGCACGGGTAGGGCAGTCTCGCGCCCCCTACCTGTTTTGCAATATCATGTTTTAAAACGTGATTTTGCCCAGCGGTGCCACCTTGTGGCCGCTTTTCTACAGTGGCTGGATGGCAAGCAGTTAAGGTTAGTGTTTCAGCCAAGGAAGCAAAAACAAATAGAAGCTCAGAAATGTGAGAAAAAACCTTTGATGAAGCAGACCTACTGAAACTATCACTCCAAAACTGTGAATGGGATAGACACAGAACTGCACAATAGATAATTGACAGATAAAGGCATTGGACATTTAAAAAAACAGTTACTTTCCTTCTGAAAATATCAAATAATGATAAAGATTGCTTGGTTGCCTTATCCAGCGCAGTTTAGCTATTACAAACTTGAGTTTAGCAAAGCATTGTTGAACTTGTAGGCTGAATGCTGGACCGTTGTGCTAGGACAGGCTGAAAGCAGACTATATTTCCCAGAGGAGCTGGCGAAGGGGCTGGAGCCTATATAATCAAAAGACCAGGAACTTCCTGGTGGGAGGATAGAGACTGTGTGAGTATGAGGACTTGTGCAGGATGCTGGCGAGGGACTAAGAGGGCCAAGCCCAGATTGGGTTGCATCAGAAAGCCGGAAGGAAGGACTACAGATCATTGGTGTTGCTAACAAGGAGAGTCGACCCTGACGGCAGACAGATTGTGGATTTGTGACCAGTATTGTGTCATTCTCAGAGGAACCAAGAGGACAAGGGGGTCCTCCAACCAAGGGACTGTTCTTCACTCCGCTAAGAATACAGACTTAGTTAGAGGGTTCCACAACCCAAATTGTCTTCAGTTACCAGATCCCCACCTGAGTGCACTACCTCGATCTTCCTTTTTGTTTCGGTCTCTCACTGTGTGATAATACGTTTTGTTGTTGTTTTTTAAATAATATTTCTTAAAATATTGTACATGTGTTGTTTTTCGCCCATCCACTTCTATTCCCTTTAAAAAACATTTTGCATAAAACTGTTCTTTCTGTTTTGAACCTCAGCTCTTTGACATACTGTATATACATGAGCCTGTCAGCCTGCCGATTGGTCATTTCAAAGCTGTAACCTCACTTTCATCCCCTGCTTGTGTTCTCCTCCTGTTTACCAGATTTCAGCAATGGATATAAAAACCATTCCTGCCCTGTGATTAATTGTACTCGACAAAGGAGGTGAGGCCTCTGAAATGCGTTGTACATGCCCCCTTTGCATTTCCCAGTGCATGCCAGGTTCATTGAGGATGGTCGTTGATGCTGCTGCTTTCCATTCTTAAACGGGTGTCCGGTTTCCTGTGGATGACCACTATAGCCGGTCTGCAGACTGGGCCCATTATTCTAACACACACACACTGTCATTACCCTCTACGTCCAAGCAGCACTTCTCGTACTTGAATGTACGTTTGGATATGTGTTTGTTTAACTGCCTCCCGCCCGCCAGATAAGGTAATGACGGGAGCAAGGTGGTTCTATCATTCTGGGAGGGCGTCATATGATGTGCTCCCACTCTAACAAAGCATGCGCGGCTTCGGGGGCGCGCAGCAATCGGTGGTGCGCTGTGTCCCTCGTTCACATCGGATCACCGATCAATGGAAAGAGCCAAAGATGTTGGCTCGGTCATGTGATCAGCTGTGTCCAATCACAGCTGATCGCATGTACATAGGGAAATGCCGGTTATCAGCATTTCTCTCCTCACGAGCTGTCACGCTGACAGCTCGTTAGGAGTGGAGAGACGGTAATTGGCACTTCTCAGAGGGGACATGTACACTGATGATCAGTGTGCCCTGATGATTAGTGTAGCCCCAGATGTGCCACCTGTCCATCAATGCCAGCTGTTAGTGCTCATCAATGCCACCTGCCAGTGCCCATCAGTGCCACATCAATGCCACATATCAGTGCCCATCTGAGCTGCCTTTCAGTGTCACCTATCAGTGCCAGTCAGTGCCACCTATCAGTGCTGCCAGTCAGTGCCACCTATCAATGCCAGTCAGTGCCGCCTATTAGTGCCCATCAGTACTGCCTATCAGTGCCGCCTAACAGTGCCAGTCAGTGCCACCTATCAGTTCCACCTATCAGTGCCATCTATCAGTGCTGCCTTTCAGTGCCCATCTGTGATGCCTGTCAATGCCCATCAGTGCCACCTACCAGTGCCTCCTCATCAGTGCCCATCTGTGCCACCTATCAGTGCCCATCACTGCAGCCTCATTAGCGCGCATCAGTGAAGGAGAAAAATCACTTATTTACAACATTTTATAACAAAAACTAAGAAACAACTTTCTTTTTTCAAAATTTTCAATTGTTTTTGGTTTGTTTAGCAAAAAATAAAAAACCCAGAGGTGATTAAATACCACCAAAAGAAAGCTCTATCTGTCTAAAAAAAATGCTAAAAATTTCTTATGGGGACAGTGTTGCATGATCGCGCAATTGTCATTCAAATTGTGACAGCGCTGAAAGCTGAAAATTGGCCTGGGCAGGAAGGGGCTATAAGTGCCCGGTAGGCAAGTGGTTAATAAATGACACATTGACACATTGACACATTTGACTAATTCCTGCGCTTTAGCTACCTTGTTGTCTTCTATATTCCATTAAGGATTACTCCCAGATCTGATGTGACAAGCAGGGGAATTTTATTAGAGCTCTCCATCCATCCTTCCATCCCTGGTCTTCATTCCATATGAACTATCATAAGGCTGCTGAATACTTGTACCCACTATTCTGACTGTATTTGACTGTTGTTCATGTACTAAGCTGGGAGTGCTGAGAGACTTTTTTCCCTTTTAGGGGAAATTTTCCTACTACTGTGCCTTTTCTTCTTCAAGAAATCTTGCTCTCAAATAAAAAGGATCTCAACTTTAATGTGCACCAACTAGGGCTCCAACAAGTGTGCAGAAGAGTTGTTTTTTTTTATATTCTGGATTATACAAACGAGGACATTATTATCTACATATCAATCTTTAAAGTTAAAGTGGAGCTCCACCCAAAAGGGGAAGTTCCGCTTTAAGGACTGCTTCCCCACTCCCTATTAAGGATTGGCACCTTTGGGGGGCGTGGGGAGCAGGTACCCGAATTTGACAGGTACCCGCTTCCACTTCCGGTCCGATCACCTAGGCGACCGGAAACGGAAGGTGCCCTCCCTCCCTGTAGTCTTTTGGGACATGTGACAGGTCCCAGAAGACTACAGGACCATTCATGAAGTGCAGCGCTACTCACGCATGCACAGTGGGTACCCAGCTGTGAAGCCGCAAGCTATCACAGCCGGGTGCCCACACTGAAGATGCCAGTGCCTGAAACACAGGACGGCCAGTGGCTGCGGGGGACACACCGTGGGACCGAAGGACAGGTAAGTGTTTGCTTTTTAAAAGTCAGCAGCTACAGTTTTTGTAGCTGCTGACTTTTATTTTTTGACAGGGTGAGTGGAACTCCGCTTTAAAGTCATTAAGAACCCAAAAGTGAGTTAGCTCAAGTTCTTGATAGCCTATTTCAGCTCATTTTGGTAGAGATATCTCAGTGCAGGGATTGGTGTTTAAACTCTGGTCCTGTAGGAAGTTTTGTGGGTTCATCCTAAAGTGGTACTGTGCTTTATAATTTGGCTGAGTTTTTCAGAGTGTCTAACTGTTGTACATGCTTACTTCTTTCTTTTGTGCTTGTACTATTTTTTACTTTGATGTCAATATAATCAGAGTACTGGTTCACTGTGTGATTACTTTGTGTTTCAGGTCCAGGGGGTTCCCTGGTTAAGATCCTATGGTGGTGTCAGCAGGGGCTGTGCTTTCAAATCAAGCTCAGAACAGACAGGGAACCCAAAAAAAGCTCAGCGGCTCAGCAGTGCTACACTAATAAAGGTAATGACAACCTTTTTCTGGAATTAAGAGGGGATAGAGATGGTAGGCTACTTCGCAAGGTTACTTTAACTTTAACATTTAACGGCTAAACACAGTGGTAAGTTGGCAAAAGGATATTTGTCTCACCAAGATAATTCTCTAAACAACATGCCAGCTATTCCCATGGCTGAAATCCATTATTGTAATTGTGAACTTATCTGGCATCCTCCCTACTCCCCTAGTCTTGTCCTACACACTACAACCTGTTTGTAATGTGAAATTAATTTGTTTGTCTTAGTGTTTGAAAACACACAATTCCAAGGCTTTCCAAATAACCTTTTTATGAATGCATACCAGTTCACAAAGCATAGAGTAGCAGCACAGATATTCTTAATCCAGCTGTAGGGAGCCTATGCATTTATGTCTCCATTTATGAAAATTTAACCTGATTTCCATATTCAGCTGTTATCCAGAGGAAAGGCATTTTGAAGGCTTATTTCATTGCTTTTCTCATAACAAACTAGTCTGCTTTCTCTGGAAATTTAGAGGTAATTATTCTTTGCATGTAACTTTTTTCTCTGCATCTATCCAAACAGCACATATTGGGGACAAAACACCTCCACAGGGACTACAGGGGACAAACCTGTCTCATCTCTCCAAAAGAATATCCTTTTAAGTGAAGGATATTGGTGTAGTTAGAGTCCCATAAGGGATACCAAAGAGTAGGGGTGACCATTTCAGTGTAGCTGTACCTAGACAACTGAAACCAGACTGAGTATGAGTAAAGTAAAATTTATTAACAATTAAACAAAACCCATATGACACCAGAAAACAGAATACACAGTAAAAGTGAAGATATACAGTACATAAACCATAAACCAGGTGACAAAATACCTAACTAGCTACCTGACTGTAATACAATATATACAAAACAGGGAGCACAGATAAACAGGGTAAGGCAGGAGCTGCAAGGAGACGGATCGGGAAGGAGGCCAGGACTGGAATCTGAAATAAGTGGAGCCAGGGGCAGACTGACAAATCATGGGGCCCCCGGGCAATAGGGGATCATGGGGCCCCTGCGTCCTTGCCCAAACTCAAAAAAGCCTATGATAAAGGTGCCAGGGGCATCTCATGGGGCCCCCTACTGACCCCGGACCCTTGGGCAGTGCCCAAGTTTCCAAATGGTCAGTCCGCCCCTGAGTGGAGCAGATATAAGTAGAAGGCCACAGAATGCAAGTACTGGAACAGAAAAACAGCAGAGATCAAGATCACAGTCAGGAGCAGCGTATCAATAACTAGGTAAACCAGTGAGCCAATGCAGGAAGTTAGGGAAAAGGATACTTATCTTCCCAGCAGCGAATATTAATTAACTTGAGGTTGCAAGGCTCATTAATCTCTAGTTGAGCTATTGTGTGACTATTGCTAGTGGCCAGCTATAGCCGCTGGTATTTATCTCATGAAAAATCCAATAGGTTGGTTGTACCCAAGTTGATAAATCGATACAGTCAGCCTGCCCATACATGGTTCAAATCTCAGCTGGTCCCCACTGAACTGGCTGAGATTCAAACCGTCTATAGTCAGCGTCATTTAATTCTATTCTATTCCATTCTATTTTTTTAATTTTTTTATTATTATTTATATTTTTATTGAGTTTATACTATAAATACATCAAATGTTTTCAAACATTACAATAACAGAATCTCCATATCAAATTTTACTAAATCCCTTCCTCTCCTTCCTACCCGCATCCCTCTGGTCACCTATCTCTATTTCTTTTTTTTTTCCCATTCCTCAATTTTACTGAGGTTTTTCTTCGTCACATCGCTCCCCTTCCCTAGCTACCAGAAGAAAAAAACATAATTTCTATCTTGTCTCTACCCCTCTTTTACATATCGATCAATTCTGAAAATCTTTCCTAAACTTTTCAATTTTATCCTCTTCAATATGGTGTAGTTTCTGCATCTTATATATAATTTCCACTCTATTTATCCAATCTTTTATTTTTGGGATTTCCTGTATTTTCCAGAATTTAGGGATCAGTCATTTATTAAATAAAATACCATCATATTCTTATATTGTTTCATCGTAAGCTCAGATTTGTGAAATAAGCAGACCCAAGGATCCTTCAGTATACTAATCCCTGTTATCTCATGTATTTTGTTGTATTATTCCTTGCCAAAATTCCTGTATTTTGGGACAATTCCAACATATATGTGCCACTGTTCCTTTCACCCCACACCCCCTCCAACATAAAGGTGAACTCTCTGGTCATTGATTATGTTCCACACTAGGTGTAATATACTATCTACCTAAGCATTTATAATTCATTTCTACTGTGTTCATATCTGCCACACTGTGTATTAAATTAAATATTTTCTTTTTTTCTTGTTCATTTTCCAAGAACGGTGGAGAGACTGGCCCAGATATACCAGTAATAATCTTATATATGGAGGAGGTAACATGTTTTCACATTGTCTCCAAACTAAAAAGTTGTTCCAATGGATACATGTCCTTCCTTGTTCTTAGTGGCTGTGGGAGTGCTGCAACAAAATGTCTTAATTGATAATAACGCCACTCATCCAACTTAAAATATAATTCTTTCTTGTTTTTTAACTCTAAGAAAGAACACAATTCCCCCTTATCAGTGATGTCTTTTAAACGTACATTCCTGTCTTTAATCCATTTACCTGCAATATTCTCTTTCTCTGGAGGGAAGAATTCTGTTCCTCCCCCAGTGGTATTAGCAATGAGTTATACTCCCACCCCCTTTGTTTGTGAATTCTATCCCATACCCTAAACACATTCCGTGTTAAAATACTTTTTCAGAGAAAATTTGAAACTGTTGTGGAAGCCAAATAATCTTATGTAATTGTGATTCATTCAGTGTGCTTTCTACCTTTACCCAACTTTTCTCCCTTGAATTGTATATCCAGTCTGCTATTCGTGTGATCAGCACCGAACAATGGTACCTCCTAAAATCTGGCATATTTAAACCTCCATTAATTCTATCTTTACACAAAACCTCATATTTAACTCTTGTTTTTTTATTTACTCATATATATTTAAGTATCATCCTTTTGATAGTCTCAAAAAATGACCCCGGCAATTATAATGGAAGCACATGAAATTTATACAAGATGTTTGGAACTATCACCATCTTTATCTTATGTATACAAACAATCGATGAGAGTGATCCTATTGATATTTTCCTCAATTCATCCTTTATCTCATTTATTAATGGAATATAATTTATTTGATTTATGTTCTTTAAGGAAGGGGTTAATTTTACATCTAAGTAGCT